CTTCCCCCCCCAAACTACAACTGCACCCATCCGTGTTCCCAACTTGCCTAATGTAGCCTTATTAAACTCGAGTGAATCCAAACTAGCAATAACCGCTCTCACCCCGTCCCCTGTGGGAGGAGTCCAGCCCAGCCACCCATTTTCAGTGTTTCCATCGTACCGCCAATAGAAATTTTGATCGCCTAGCGAATCAACAATTTTCGCTCAAGCCCTTCTACTGTGGGAGGGGTCTAATCTGCCACCTATCATCAGTGTCCCCATACTGCCACAATAAAAGGTTCACGAGAACAGGAGTCAGGAATCCCCGGTCGGACACACACAGATTAGCGCATTATCTACAGTAGTTGATCATATAATAGTTTTGAATACGCACATGATTCATTCACACAGTTATATCGCACGCCCCTTCGTTGTAGAAAGGATTGAGACATGCGTTTTGATTGTTACCACCAGCTTAGAACCTGCATTTCAGTTTTGAGAAAGGTTCAAGTGCTTTTCAATTAATACCGAATTGATTATTCAGTTCTTCTCATACTCACTAGATTCAGATGAAGATCGATGCTACCTTGGCCAATGCATCAATAATATCTGTGCGATGGCTCCGGTATTGTTCCGTTCAATAATGTTCACTCAGATCTATTGCTAGTTCATACTTCCATTTCAGACTCCAACACCAACGACGCAACCTCCTACAGATACGACTACGCCCGTTGCTCCTTCACAAGAGGTAGCCTTCGAAATACTGTCTCAAAAAACATAAATCATTAGTTTTCATATATTGATCGTATACTCGGAAACCCATAGTGTACAGTGTACTGACGGGGTACTTCATCGTACAGTTTTGACTATGAGAACCGTTATGCAACATTATAACTGAATATCCCCGCCCGCCGGTCTACCACCTCAACGTAGTGGGAGGGTGGCGTTTAGGCGTGTTGGCGTGTTCGATTTTAAGTAATTTCGGTTTCTGTAGCAAAAATATTTCTGATTATTTCTTATTTTAGTATTTCATCCTATGCTCTAATGCAAAACTGCGGAGTTCTTCAGTCATGCGGAGTTTGTCTTGACCGACTTGCCGCTTCGCGTTCGATGCTGTGGTTAGGTAGATGTGCAGGGAACCGGAGGGTTGGCGGCCCCTGCTTGAGTCCCCCTTGTCCGTCCGCCCGAGGTCGCGGTTGAATTCGTTCTTCACGCGTTAACTTGCTATACAGCAAGCCCCAGTACGTTACGTCTAAGTCATCGCGTTCTGGATCAAGGACCAGGATTCGCTAGGGAAATATCCGCCTACCAAAGGGGAAGCGTCCTGTCGCCCTACCACATGCTTTCGTCACTACCATCAGATGTAGGCTTGTATTGTCCGAAACTCTCGCCTAAATCTCCTACTGCTCGAGAGAGTTCTGCGCTAGAGCCTTCATCTTTTCTTAATTATTATTTATACCAGTCGGGCCGCTCGGCTAACGCCAGGCTCTCCTCCTTCTTGTCAAACACCCTATCCCGAGAAATGTTTAACTGAAGAAACTTATTCCCTTTTTCAAAGTTTATAGTCTTTGAGTTTTTTTCCGTGTTCAGCTGAGTGAGGGTATGAAACTGAAGCAGAGCTGGAAATCCTTCTTTGACACAACAGAAATCGAAAGCTTCCCTCTTTCTTTGATAGTTGTAGTAAGTCTAACTCTCCACTCCTTTTTTGGAACAAATGGCAATCTCCTGTATACGAAATTCGACACAGGACTAAAAGGGCAGTGCAAACGGTATTCAGTTAAAGTCGGTGCTTACGACTTCGATTGGAAGTCTCAAACTTTTGCTCTGTATCTTTGCAATAAATACCCATCAAAAATCCAACTGTTAGACAATCAGAGATGATGCTGTGGAGATCTTATGAGTGATGATAACACCGTTATCAGATACTTTTTATCAATGGACCCTTTTCTTTACGGCGATATCATTTGTTGAGAATTCTAGATTACAGGCGGTCGAATAAGTTTTGTCGCAAATGACATCAAGCGAAGAGGATCCTTCATTGAATCACAAACCCTGCTGGGTAGCGGTCGCAATCTAATGGCGAGAAATGAACACAATGTTCATCCTCTTATCGTAGCGCCGCTAGTGGGTCCTTATCTCTGCACTCACCACTCACTTTTGTCACCCTGCTTTACCATCTCGTCTTATCGAATGAAACATACTGAACGGTCAAAGCTACATCGTAGATACCAAAGACGTTAGGATTTCGATCGGTAGGTGGCACTCTTAAGTCCTTCATCTTCTCTTATCAGCTAACATCAGTTCCTGTCACCGAGTACCTACGATCCCGTCATATCCTGCACCTATTAGAATGCTGAGGTTCCACTGGTAATACGAAAGTGTGATCCTACCAAATTTGAACGCTCTAAATCCACGTAAACAGGAGTTATGAATTTGCGGCTCAAAATTACTATCGCGCACGCCCCGCTCCCTGTGCATGGGGTCCGGTCCTGCCACCCACCGTAAGTGTTCCCATGCCGCCCCCTGCACTCCTACCAATTTTGAACGCTTTGGGTCCACTGTAGCAGGAGTTATGGATTTGCGACCTGAAATTTCTATCGCGCACAACCTGCTTCCTGTGGGTGGAGTCTGCTCCTACCACCTGTCATAAGTGTTTCCATGCTGCCTCCTGTACTCCCGCCAATTTTTAGCTTTCTGGGTCCACGGGAACAGGAGTTATGAATATGTGGCCCAAAATTTCTAACGCGCACGCCGCGCTCCCTGTGAACGGAGTTCGGTCCTGCCACCAACAATAAGTGTTCTCCTCCTGCCCCCCATACCTACCAAGTTTGAACGCTCTAGGTCCATGGGAACAGGACTTATGAATTTCCGGTCAGACACACACACTGACACACACACACAAACACACAAACACCGACACACCAACAGACACACTTAGCGAATTATATAAAGTAGGATACTTATCTCTCTCATTTATAAAGCAGAAACTTGGTGTGTCGGTTTGTCGGTTTGTGTGTTTGTCGGTATGTCGGTATGTCGGTGTGTCCGTCCGCAAACGCTTATGATTATGATAAAGGTAGTGATATGGAAAACCCATTCTCTCAATGAAACTCTCACATTTCCCTCTTCTTTCTTATATATAAAGCAGTAACTTGGTTTGTCGGTTTGTCGGTATGTCGGTTTGTCTGTATGTCGGTATGTCGGTTTGTCG